TTCCACGCGCCTCACCCTGGGATGCGGCTGGTTGTAGGCAGCCATGTTGGTATGGAGAGGTCGCCCTTCAAGGCATTGTGGTGAAAAGCAGCCGCCTGACAGGTCCCAATTCTGTGTGCAGTCAGCCCCAGACCGTCCCCCTGCAGCGGGGACAGGGTCCCATGAGGGAGTAGTGTCGCCTTGGTACCCCGTGGCATGTGTTGCTCGCCCATGTGCCGTGTGTGGGGTGAACCCGGTGCAGTGTGCAACCCTGTGGCACGTGCAGTCTCAGGACGCAGTGCTCGGTCGGGACGACCCTCGGGCATTGCCTTGTTGGGAGCGCTTCCCTCCCGCTTACGGAGGCAGTGGGGGGGAGAGTCCGTGGCTGTACGGCGTGCTCTGTGGCCTCTCTGCAGCCTGACTGATCCCGTGCAGTTTCTCCGCCCTGGCCCCGGGAACAGCAGGCTGTGTCCTGTGTGCCCCACGCCACGTGGCCTCGGGGTGCATGGCGGTGGGACAGTGAGGAGGTCACCCCGTCTCGTGTCGCTGGGGGCCGATCTGTGGATGAGCATGGTTTGATGCGAGGCCCTGCACCTGTGCGGGGCTGCAGGGCCTCGCTCTGCAGGGAGAACACCCTCCTCGGCCCGCTGGAGCCGAGAGCGGCACAGCCCCATCCAGGACAGATGCCTGAGTTAATTAGGGACGCCGGTTCCCAGAGCACGGCGTGTGCTGCCCGCGTCTTCTTTTCAGCCCCACTTCCAGTCAGCACTGTAATTTAATCTGTGCTCACACAGGCAGTCAACAAACACAGCCTCCAGCTCTTGGCTGTCTGTTATATTTTTAGAGTTATGTTGATGAGGTTAAAATATGTGTGGTCTCTGTTTCATCTATCATTAGTCTTTCTGTGCTTTTCCTACAAGTTTAATCTAAAAATTTCACCATGAGGAAAGTAACATTTACGCCATTATGACGATGTGAGTATATTTTACTGTGGATCCAAGTATGTGGAGTGCAGTTCTGCACCGCAAAGCCCTCGCCAGGCGAGGGGATGTTCACATGGAAACCCAGTGTCTCTTCAGGTTGCTGTGCTGCTCTGGCTGTGTCCGTTGCCATGGTTCCTGGGCTCACGAGTCTGCTTCTGGGTTCTATTTCTGTTTTGCTGGAGCACCTCCTTGGTCAGGTCCTCCGTGGCGTTGTGGCCCGCAGGCCTGTGGGTTCTTGCACAGTGGTCAGACAGGCAGTTCCTCTGCTCCATGCTGGCTGGGTCTGGATTCTAGGTTCCTTTGAACTGGAAGAGCCTTCAGTGTTTTTTCCAGAGCTGGGATTGCAGATGAGAAGTCGAGCATCAGTTTGATCCCTGTTGCGTGGGTGAGCTTCTCCGCCCCACCAGCTCCCCCTGTCCTCCAGGGCTGACTCCTGGGTTTCTCCTTGGTCTGTGCCCAGCCTACTTCCGGTTCAGGCCCAGGTGCCCCTGCTGGACAGCAGCCCCTCCCTGCGGCACCGCCTTCCTGGGGGACCCCTTCTCCCAGGCTGTCTGGTTACCCTTCTCCCCACTGGTCCAAGCCACCCGGCTTGCAGGTTGCCCCACCTGCAGCTCAGGCCCTTTTGTGATTTCCAGCCCTGCTATGGTGTGCCGACCACTGTGGAGGGGAGGGTCTGACATTTGGTCACTTCCTGAATCAGGGCCTTTGCACTGGTCCTGGAGAAGGAAGGTTCTGGACCCCGAGCCCTTGGATCATGGTCACGCTCTCTCCAGGGAGACGTCACCAGACACCATCAGAGGCTGGGGAGAAGCCAGGCGAGCCAGGCCCCATATGTGGACCCGCTCTGAGACATGTGCTTTTACGTGTCTGCTCTCATTATGTGAGAGTGCTCCGGAAACTCAGAGTCAGCTGGGCCTTCATTGCACTCCCATGGGTGGCTGCAGTTGAAGTTCCCTGCCCTTGGTCAGCACATCTCCCCCAGATGTGGTGTCCCCGCCTCAGCAGAAGGGCGCGCTCTGCCCCTGGGTCCCGCAGAGGTGGGGTGACCTGAGACCTGCCAGTCACTGGCGAATTAGGGCTCGGGAACGCTGTGGGGTGACCCAGCTGCTGCGTCAGTGTCCTGTGGAAATGTGCCGGGACCCACGCTCCTGCCTGCATGGCTGCCATGTGCTCTGGGGGCCAGGCCCCCAGCTCCCGGGGAGCTTGTGTGGGGCCGTGGCCCGTGCTCCGCAGAGGTCTCCTAGGTCAGAGCAGCGGGACGCATGCGAGTCTTCCTCCCTCGGCCCTCGCTCCTGTTCTCCCACTTGCTCCCAGGCTCCTCCTCCCCGGAGTGTGCTCTCTGCCTGCTTTCCTTACCCTGCTCGTACACTGAGCCTCACTGCTGTCCTCACTGAGCCCCGGTGCGTCCTGTCCCGCACAGCTGGCCTGCTCTGAGCCTGGCTGTCACCGCAGGCCACGTGTGTCCCCAGGGCCTGGGTTCGTTTTCTGGCACACTTGTAAGCGAGGTGTCCTGTGGCACTAGACAGCAACCGTAATCACAGCTCTCGTGACCACTGCCGAGTGAAAATGAGCAGACACGGCCCTCAGAACATCTTTGCGCCCCCACCCACGCCCTGAGCAGAGCCCCCACCTTGCTTTCTAGTGTGCGTAGGCGCGCTCTGCACCTCTGCGTCACGGTCAGCCTTGCCCGAGTGCCCACTGGGGTGGTGGAGTCTCCCACCGCTGAGCGTGCCCGTGCACGGATCCCGCCCCACACACAGGCCCTCCTGGCCAGCTGCAGTGCTCACGCCCGTGTTCGATGCCACCTCTGTGTTTATGAGGCAGCCTGTCCCCCACCTGTCCCCTGCCTGTCCCTGGCTTGTCCTACCTGTCCCCCACCTGTCCTCCACCTCCCGCCTGTCCCCCACCTGTGCTGGCTCCTGGCCAGGCCTGTACTTTGAGGTGCTGGGTGGCGCTTTCTGGGGAGTCACCTCGGCCTGGAGATTTTGGTTGCTGTCTTTTGATTGTCTCGTGTCTCTAGTTTAGTCAGATTTTTGCTTTCTTCCTGAGTAAATCTTGGCATGTCTTTTTCTTGGAATTTGTTCTACCTAAATTCATATGGTTTTGGGAATGAAGGTCTTGCTGTTTTTAGCGTTGTCGGTTTGAAGTGATGATTCTTTTCAGGACCTTTGCTACCGAACAGCCCCCCGCAAAGGTGGTGAAGTATGGTGTTGCGGGGTAGTGAGCTCAGGGCCTGCCGTGCCTGGGGGAGGCTGTGGGGCTCTCCACCGGCTGTCTGCCAGCTCCTCGGTCTTCTCCACGCCCTGCCCAAGGAGGCCCAGTGGTGTGGACGGCGTCTTCCCCATGTCGCCTGTACATTTGGCTCTGGCTTTCCTGTGGTGCCCAAGGAACAGGAAACGGAAGCCCGGCTCATCTTCTGTGCCGTGTCCTCGGTGTGGGACAGCAGACGACCCCTGGCCCCGGACCCCAGGATGCCAAGGCCCCCTGCTGACTTGTTCCCAGGCCCGCTCCGACTGCCCTCTTCTCGCTCTGTCGTCTTGCCGGGCGGGCTCTGCTGTTACCTGTCATCCCTGCGAGTGTTTCCTCCCTCCTGTTTTCCTTGTTCTCGCATGGTGGAACTCATTGTTTTCCGTCTGTGCCCCGAAGAACAGCTTCATCTGTGTGCCCCACGCCCGATAAGAGCTCTGCGGTGCCCTGCGGTGCCGGGTCACTTCTGTGTCTGCTGTGATCACTTTCTCTATCACGGGTGGCCTGCAAATGTGAGCCAGGACTTTCACCTCCACCTGGGTCTCCTGGCTCCCGAGACTCTGCCGGCCTGGGCCCTGCCCTGCTCCCAGTGCACCGCTCGTGCCTTGGCCCTGTGTGTTTTGTCTCCTCGGTCGTCCTCTGCTCCCCTGTGCTCCACGTGACGGAGGCTCCTGCACCTTGGCCACCTTTCATTGCGCCCTCACGGGGACTTGGGTCAGCGGCCTGCACCCCTCACTGCCCGCTGCCTGGGCATTGCCTGCCCAGCCCAGGTTCAGCTGGAAGAGGCCAAGTCCGCCCAGGCTCACACTGCAAGCCGAGCTCCCAGACCCTGCAGCACCCGGGAAGGCGGTCACCGGGTCGGTCAGGAGAAGTCCTCCGTCAGAGCCACTGGCCCCTGCCTCGTCCCCAGGGCACGGTGGGCTGGATGCCTCCCTGTGGGGAGGCTGGGGGCCGCGTCTTGCTGGCTGGCAGAGTCGGGGCTGCGGGGTGGCCCTCACACTGTGGCTCTGTGTTCTTCTTGCCATGTTTCTCGTTCTGTGCGGGCAGTGGGCACACAGAGCTCCCGGGTGGTGCCTGCTCTTCCTGTGGCTGTGGCTGTGTTGTGTCTGGGGGGCTCCCAGAGTCCGAGCCGCATGCCGATGGAGGGGCGTGGGGCCCTGTGGGTGCCTGGTGTGGGCACCGGTGGGCAGGGCTGGTCCACACTGGTGCGCTCTGTGCCAGAGCCGTGGCCTGGCTGTGCAAGAGCAGAGCAGGATGAGCTGCCCTGGCAGGTAGGTCCAAGCCCGCCTGGGGCGGGCGGGGCGGGTCCAGCCTGGCAGCAGGAGCATTTGCACCCGGCCCAGTCTTCCAGGCCCAGATGTCGCCCACTCACCCCTGGCAGCGCCCCCCCCCATGCCCCAGCCTGGGAGGAGGGGTGGCAGGCGCATGCATGTTTCCATGACTGCACATGTGTGCCCGTAGGCACGTGTGGGAGACGTGTGTACGTTTCAGCCTGCGGCAGGAACGTGGGTCTGTGGCTCTGCGGGAGGCTCCTGCCCCATGGGCCGTGGGTGGCTGTGCTGGTCTGTGTGGGGTTCCGTGGGGACCACCTGCTGCGGGAGGGTGAACACAGGCTGGGTGGGTGATGTGTGACCCCTGCAAACGTTCATAAGAGTGCTCGGGAAGTAACATCAGCCACGTGGAGGAGGAGGACCGCCCTTAATGACCTTGTTAGTGCCCACTACCTGTCTGCCGTGGTGAGGGAGCCCTCACCGTGCACGGTGTGGCACGTCCCGGGTCTTCTTGTTGTAGAGCGATGCCACCCACGCTGGGCCCCCTGAGGCTGCAGGGGAGCCACGCCTGCCGAGGACACCGAGCGAGCGGCCGTCTTGCTCTCTGAGCTGAGCCCTGGGCCCTGCAGGAGCTCCGCCTGGGTCATCACAGAAGCAGAGGCCGAGCTCATCTCCAGGTGAGTGCAGCTGGCAGCAGCCTGGCACATCCCGACGAAGCCACCACCCCGCTGCCCTCCTGTGTCTCGCTGAGCCAAGTCTGGCATACCCGGCTGCTGCTGCAGCTGCGGCTCACTGGTGTCCGTGCCCCTCAGGGCACCCCGATATCACCCTGGTAGGGACAAAGGGGAGTTGTTGAAAGCTGTTTGTCCTCAGTCCCTTTTCGCTGAGTGGCTACAGGGAAAGCCTTTACGCATAGTGTGGTGTCGCAGGGGCCAGCGCCGACCTGAGACTCGGACAGAGGGGCTGGCAGGCTGACCCGGAAGCACCCAGGTTTCCATTTCCAAGGGAGTTTCTCCTGGGTGTGCACAGGTGGAGGAGGCAGGAAGGGGCTGGGGCATCGTGTAGCTGGTGCCTGGGTGCAGTCCCGGGGGTCCGCTCGCTGGTGTCGAGGGTAAAGCTGGCCAGCGCTGTCCACGTGCGGCCCTCGGGCGGCGTCTAGAGCTGTGGGAACAAGTGAGGCACGCAGGTGTCGGCAGGAAGCGGCCAGAGCCTTGCAGGTTGCCGCCTGTGGGAGGGTGACCTGCCCAGCTCCAGCCCTGGGCTTTCAGTTTGTCCTGGGAAAGGCCCTGCTGTCACTCTGCCCGGAAGCGTCACGCAGGTGGAGGTGGCCGCTGTGAGACCCCAAAGGAGCTGTGTTCTCTCCCTGGTGCTGTTTCTGTGGTTCTTGCCTGGCCGGGGCACCAGAAGGAGGACGGGCAGCAGCAAGGTGCCCTCGGTGTGGCTGTGCAGGACTGCCTTTTATTTTCAGCCACGGTCTTTCTCAGCTCGAGGTGTGGTGTAAGGTTGGCTCCTCTGCAGCCGGAGTCTATGGAGGGGACCGAGGGTCCCAGCGCCACGGGAGTCTGCAGGCGTGGGGCTCACGTTGCTGTGCGGACTGTGATTTATGGCTGCCTCGTTTAAGAGGCCGTGGAAGTAAAGCGTTCCATTAATTACGCTGTGTATGTGAAGAGCAAGTATTTTTACATAATGTAAGCACACACCAGAGGAATGGATTATTTATAGTCCTTGGCACAAATAAATTGTTCTTCAAGGCATAGAAAGAAAGCGCAGTCCCCAGGAGCTCTCTGGCCTGTGTGCTGGGAAGGCCGGGCCCTGGGCACCAAGAGCCGCACCTCCTGGCGCCCAGTGTGAATGAAAGCGGCTGTGGTATGGAAATTGTGTATTTCTTTTCTTTTATAAAAGAGAGCTAATTTTGGCAGCAGATAGTTTGATGTTACTCATTTCCCTTTCCAGGGTAGTGTGAAGTAAAGAACAAAATGTGGACTTTCTGCTGAAAATGCCTGGGTTTGGGGACGCGGTCCTGACGGGCTCCCGGCCGCACGGATTCCTCAGGGGGTCGGCCCTCATGGGCACCGAGGCGGAGCCTCATGTCTGGTCCCGGGCGAACTCGCGGCCCTGCCTCCCCATGTCCCTCGAGGAGACAGATGTCACACGTGTGTTTTGACACCTCAGACCGGGGACACCCCGGGTCACAGTTCCTGCCAGCAGCATTCAGCCAACTGTGCAAATGGTGAGAAGGAAACTTTGCCTCCTGGGTAAACTTGGAAGCTTTTTCCAGGCGTTTCTCATCGCTACCAAGTGCCAAATGTTCTGTAACAAATGCTCCACCTCGCTCATCATTTTAAAATAAGTTCGTAGAAGACACTTCCTTATGCAATATGCCCTGTAATGTTAGAAAGCACCGTTGGGCCCACATAGAGCCCACAGGGAAGTAAAAATGCATAATAAAATGCCTTTCCTGTGGCGGGCGGCAGCGAGGCCAGGGGGCACTGCTGGCTGGGTCTGAGCAAACATGGCCTCCCTGCTCTTCCGGGGCCTGCTTCCGGAAGACAGAGCCGAGGTGGAGCTGTGTGCCATGGCTCTGCGCTAGGCTGGCCTGCGCCTGCCACCCAAGGAGGGCCCACCTCACCTAGGGCCCTGCCAGCACCTGATCTGTGCTGTGCACGCAGGCCCTGGCTGGCATTCAGGAGCTGGCCTCTTGGGGCCCAGGCAGGAGATGTGAACAAGGGTGCTGTTCTCCAGGGGGCACCATGAGGGCTCTGGGCAGGTGGCAGGGGAGGGGCTGTCATTTGAGGCCCACGCAGTGCGGGCGTCCTTCCTTGGGCTCTTGGTGCCCAGGAGAGGTCCTGGGAGTCCCACCCACCTTGCCTGGGGGGTGCAGGCGTGTGTGGCCTGTCCTCACTTTCTGGCTCGCAGGGCAAGGCCTTGGAACCTGAGAGACGAGGGTCACATTTGCCGAGGTGTCACCTGGGGAGGGGGCTGCTCACCAGGGAGCCCAAGGCGGTTAGGGGTGGGGTCTCGGGCCCACCGCACTCCGGGGAGGGGAAGCTGACCTGGCATGGCCCGTGGGTTAATCCCTCGTGCCTGTCATGAAGACGGGCTTGGGAACAGGGGTACAGCTGAATACGCAGGGTTTCTAGGAAGTCCCTAGACTCCCACCGTGGGGCGGAGGGGCACCCAGCTCCCCAGACGGATGCCCCGCTCCGGGCCCCCCCTCATGACGGGGCCCACACCGCCCCCCATCTCCTCGGCTGCAGGTCGGCAGGCACCGTCTTGCTGGGTCCCCAGCTGCCCAGCGACTAACCCACCTGAGCGGAGCGGGGGGCCGGAGCCCCGACCTGTGTGCACAGCGACCCCAGGGGCTTCCAGGGCCTTGGTCAGGGAGGGCGGAGCCTCAGCGCTTGGGAGTCTCCGGGGGACAGGGAAGGGCTTAGGGTCCCGCGTGGGCCCCGTCAGGCGAGACTGGCACCTCCCGCTGGCTCCCAGCCTCTGCCGGGGAGCGGTGCCTCCCTGTCTCCACTGCAGGCCCCGCCAGACTGTGCTGCGTGCGTCAGGACGGGGCACGGCATGCGGGACGGCCCATCAGAGCTTCCAGTCCGGCCAGGGCACGTGTCCTGGTGCTAGTGGATGTTTCTTTCATTCTCAGGCTTCTTGCGTTTTTCTTTCACTTGAAACTTTTTTCCTGAGATTTTGCGTTCTTTTAAATTAGACCATGGAGGTTAATCTGCAGAGTCGCCCTGTTGTGGGTGCAGTCTGGCACCTGGTGGCGGTCGCCGCTGCTGCTGCCCTCCCTGGGCTCTGCTCCTGCCTGTGCCCTCTCCCTGCCCGTGCGGGCGTCCTGGTCACCCTGGCCACCGGTGCCCCTCTGGGGTGACTCGTGCTGTCTGTGGACCTGCGAGTGGCTCCCTGTGGACAGCAGGTGGCGCTGTAGGACCGCGTCTCAGCCTGGCTGCTGCTCTGGCTTCCCGGAGAGCAGCGCTGCTCTGGAGGATGCAGTGTGACCCTGGTGAGGGGCCTGCGGGCCAGACACCGCCCTATGGCTCACTGAGCCTGGGGTGCTCAGCCAGCCCACGGGCAAACACTTCCTTAGTTTGCCCCGAGGTGGGTCGGAAGGGCTTCTGCCACAGACCACGACACCGTTTCTGTCACAGTGTCAGGCTTAGTGCGGGCCTCCTGCTTCAGCCGAGCATTTCAGGCGGGCGTAATTACGTCAGGAGGCGGAAAGCCCCGCTGACCTCTATTTCCTGGCTGCAGGACTGGGGGCCTGACCGGGGGGCGCTCTGCAGGGTGCCGCCTGCCCCGCCTCGCTTCCTCCGCCCTCCATGCCTCGCGCTCCCCCAGCCCAGCTTTGCCCCTTGGCCCGTGACTGGGTCGTCTGCTGGGCCCCTTGGCCTCTGCTCCCGGAGCCCAGCGGTGGTGCCACTCGAGGTGTCCCTGCCCTTCCCTGCCACAGGCGTCAGTGGCAGATCCAGGTGTCTACATGCGGAAGCATGTCCCTGTGAAGCGTGCTCACCTGGAGAATGGTGTCCACGCGGAGAGGCGGTCCATGCTTGGAACCTGCGCCTTGGGGATCCTGGTGCCCCAGACCCTGGCTGGGAGCAGCCATGTTTGCCCAGTGGGTGATGCCAGCATGGAGCCTGGGCCCATGGTGCTCTTGTCCTGCTGGGCTCTGCCCCTGGCCGGGCTTCCCAGCAGCTGCCCATCCGTCGCCACTAGTGCCTCTTGGAAGTGTAACGGTGCCAGACTACTGAGGCTGAGGCCACCAGCTGTGCCAGGCACATCCTGCCACCATCCCAGTGATGTCCACACAAGGACTCTGAGAAGCCAGGAGGGGGGCAGCATACCCAAGGCCCTACTCCCGCGAGGTGGAGCAGGCCCTGACCAGGGCACTCTGCTGGTCACTGCTCTGCAGCCATGGCCATGTGTGCAGCTGTGCAGGTTGTAGACTGCACAACTACACCCCGAAGGCATGGCTTGAAAGGTGTCTGTCCTGGCCATAGAACAAGGGGTGGTCGGGCGATACCCTCGCATAACCACTGCACTTCCTCCTTTGCCTTGCTAGAGCACATGGTCACAAAGGCAGCAGGGAATGCTTCTTGCTCCCCAGGTTCTGTCAGGCAGGGACCGACCTTGTGCAGGGAGAGGCCTGTAAACAGGTTGGGGAAGGAAAATCAGCTGTGCTGCTCCCTGCAGAGGCATCTGAGCCACAGCGTGGTGCCTGTTCCTAGCCTTGATTCCATGTAAATAACTGACAAGGGGATGACTGACTCATGTAGCTCAGGATTCTGATAGAGTAAGCTTTGTTTTTCTTTTTCGTAAGAGGAGAAGATGCATAAGGGTTTTATCCTGAATTAATGGTCTAGGGACGTTAAATTTTAGAGTCCTTGCTCTGAGGACAGAGATAAAAATAAAATTAATTAGTCAGCGTTAGTGTCAGGTGCTCCATGGCGTGTGGCCGCCAGCGGCTTCCCCTGGAATGAAGCGATTGTAACTTTTAGCGACGCGGGAGATGAAGACGGGGCTCTTCTGAGGCCGGGAGGGAGCCCAAAGTGTGTTTGCAGCTGTAAACTGCGACGGGATCCTTTGAGGCCGCGTGGACAGTGCATCGGGTCCTGCTGCCCAGTCTCTGGGTTCTCTTAACCCTAGGCGTTGCCTGCACCGCGGACTCGGCTCCCTG